AGTATTTTATAATAAGTACAACATAAATTACATCAATAATAAATTACTACTGATAATTATGAATAGAATTGGAGCATTTGAATATCATAATAATATTTAATTAAGATGAAATCTATATGCTTTTTTAAATAAATTAAGTAACATAAAATTCATTATAATTTTTTGATTTTTAAATCATTGAAGACGAATGTTCAGGCTGATAGAGCAATTCGTGAAATTTACTTTGAATTTAAAAAAAATTCCTGAAATCTTATATTTTGCAATATGTACTTTGCGTTTAATTCAAATGCTAATAGACAATGTTAATATTTAAATATTTTTTATTTTAAGTACACATAATTTTAAACCCACGCCACACCACAGTGGAAGCAATACGAATTCTAGATAGCTAAAAGTAAAAAAACATACAATCGTTTAAAGTAAAAATATTTATGAATATTTATAAATGACTACTAAGTAATGGCAAATAAAGCACCATTTTTAACATTTATTATGTCTATTGCCATCACGCAGCCGTCGTAATCTTGATTAATATCATTAGACAAATAAATTCTGTAAAGTATAACATTTGTGCTTGTAAATTTTTACGTGACGTGGCATTTTAAAATTAAAAAAAAAATAGTATTTATTCAAATAGACTAGCTAATGATTATTTTAGAAGATATAATTGTAATTTTAGTATCATTATTTGCACATAAATATATAAATGGTTTTAGGTTTTACAAAACTGAGTAATTAACTTTTAAATTCAAATTTAATAAGCCGGCAAATATTAGAGCTTATTAGAGGTTAGATTTTTTTTTTCATAAACATATACATATACATTAATTTAAAATAATAATAATGTGTTCGTCAGGGCGCCTAATTGAATTATTGATGATTTTTAAAAGAATATTATTTGTACCAGACCTAAACATAATTTTGATATAATACTATTTATTATATAAAACTATAATTGAAATTATTATACAACTGAAATACTATTTCATAAAACAAAATTTCGATTAGTTTTGCATTGATGATTGTTAAAATCTATGTCAGTAATTTAATTTTTCGAGATAAGGTCAAATCAACAATTAAGAATGTCTTATAATTAAATACCGTGGAGATTTAATGGAGATTTAGAATTGAAAATTTCTGAGATGATTTGTATAAATTACAAAATCTTTAATACATCATCGACTTTCAGAAAGTTTTTAAATACTACAAAACCTAATAAACCATTGCTAGATCACAAAATCCTAAAACAACTCTGGACAATTAAGAATGCAGCTTTAATAGTTCACATTATAGCGAATTACGCATTATTGAACAACTAAAATTTGTTCAAAATTCTACCGAAAGAGATATAATATTAATAAAATATTTTAATGATATAATTACAGGAGATGAAACTCGAAAAAATTGTCCTACTATTTTATATTGTTTCAGACTATCAAAGATGATAGATCAAGATATCTTTAGGCGGCTTAAAAGCGGATTAACAATTCCTATGGACACGGAAACGTAATAGATTAATTTAAACATTTTTAATTTAAGTACTACGAACAGTATTATTAATCCAAACAAATATTATTTTTAACTCTTATGAAATTTTTTTTTAGTTTTTCTTAATTTTAAAGGAAACTGTTGAATTAACGCTAAGTTATATATTTATACGATTTTAAGAAAAATAAATTACAACAATTTTAGTGATATACAATTTTTTTATTTTCAATATTTAAAGAAATAATTGCCAAATATAAAAACGGACAATTATTACAAAATCTTAGTTTTATTTGGTTTTTCATTAAAAAATAAAACTATTAACTATGAAAAAAAATTATTTTTTATTAGTTAACTAAAAAACTCTACAAAAATAATTACTTTTTGAAATTCAATAATAAATGGGAAATATCCGAAACGCTACAAATTTATACATTTTTTTCTAAACTTTGACTTTTGGGCGCACCTGTTAATCATGCCATATAAAGCTCAAATTTTTTTAGATATTACTTTTAGACCAATAGAAAAACAAGGCCGGGCGACATTTCTCAAATTCCGAAAAAAACCTGCAAATATAAATAACGGGCGTTCTAGTGTACTACTTAATAAAAATATACCATTATTTTTACCTAACAACCGAAACAACACATTTTAACTGTCTTCTGTGGTCACAAATCAATAGAGTTTATCACACCAAAATGTATTTGAGGAGTTTATGTGTTTCGTGGTAATTAATATCTGAGATGAATCGAGCCAACATACATAATTGGTATTCCAGTTAACATCCTAACAAAATAAGTTTATTTCATTGCGTCTGGATTTTTAGTACCGTAGTGAGTATTGATCTTAGTCTCGTTGACGGAAAAGTCCCCGGGGTGAAGGCACTGGATTGAATTCGGGGAAAAGTTGAGAGAGGTTTATTCAGTGCCGCTCTAAGACTACGGGAAACTCCTGTACAGCTTTACAACGCCTAAGAAATAAGCGCGTAATGAACCTGAATATGTATAATACAAGAAGGAATTGGCAAACGAGTGAATGAGTGTCAACTCGCGGATCGGTGTCAGAGACGATGGTGGCCGGTATGCGAAATAGGACATAGAAGGGGAAAATACCGGCAACATCGCGCCAATGATAGACGTGTCACACGCTAAGAGTGATTGATAGCGAGTTCGGCCATTGCTGTTTATTAAGGATCAGTACGGCAGGTGCTGTCATTGCGGTGTCGATTACATAAAAAAAGGAAGTAATAATAATGATAAGGACGTGACGAAAAATCGCATCAGCTGCGGTTTTTCTCAGCCAATTATCGTTTGAGAGTTTGTGGCTATTCAAAGTGTATTCCTACGAATACACTTTTTTACAAAGTGTATTTTTTACAAACAAGTTTACCTTCATTACTGTAATGAACAACAGGATGACGAAACCGAGCAACCAATGATACTAAAAAATTTAATCTAAAAGGGTACTATTTTCGAGTGGCTACCGCCGTTGATGTGTCCCGCACCAGCGTTTTCCGTCCCGAGAGAATTACACTCGAACTGTCCATTCATTAATAAAACCACACGGTTTCAACCCTCTCCGTGTGGTCGTTCCCTTTCAACTAAAAGGTATATAAATGCAATTCCGTTAATTGCTTCTCTAAAGTACACTTCTCAATAAACCAAAAACGTGTGACAACCACTAACAAAATATTAACACGAGATACATCAAAAATATTTTACTAATACAGTTCAATTTAGATATGTACTATTCAAATAAAAAGGATAATTCAAGCCTCCGACAAAAAAAAAATTCCCGACCCAACAAAAATCCATTGCAATTTAATGCGAACTTCCATATTTAGAAAAATTTGTCACCTTAAACCCGAAAGATGATAAGAGTAAAACAAAAAGTTTATAATTGTTATAACATTTATAACTATGTTTGATGAATTACAAAAAAAAAGGTCTCTTCAGTCGAAAAAAGTACCGATGTTGAAAAATGTATGAAATACACCCTCCCTTAAAAATATTTCTAAGATCGTCTTTTTAAAAAAAAAAAAAAAACTGTAATCAATTGTATGCTAAAAAGTCACCTAATATAATCCACGATTATGGAAATATTAAAAATTAAAATTGAGTTTAATTGATAATATTTTTTATTGATTTATTAGAAATTGAAAATATTAATAACAACAAGGGTACATAAAATTATGTCTTGCGAGGACATCAAAATGGTTATACGATGTCGTTTATATACGATTTTAATATTATAAAACGTTATTTGAGCCTTTAAAACATTTTTACCCCCTTGATAATTTTCAAAATTCATTCTGCCATGAACACATTTTTGTAAAAAGGTTTTAAAAAACAGATACCTAATACGACATAAAAAAAAAAATTAATCATGATCAAATTTGTTTTAATTATAGTCATTCAATATTAGAAACAACAAATACGAATATTTGCATAAATTTGTTTGCGTAAATGTTGTCTTATGCGACAACACAAATAATATCGAAAACTCTTATAATCCAACATGAAAAAATCGATCGTGATTAGGTGACTATTAAAATCAAACAAGTAGAGTATACAACCTACTGTAAAATGCATATTCATGAGAGCATTTGAGAAAATTAAAAAACAAACAAGTGATGGTGTTTACACGGTTTGGTGAAGTGTTATTGTTATGTTATTCGGAATTAATACGCCTGCAACCAATACAGAAATAATTAAAATGATTTGAAACAAATTACAGGGCCAATCGAAAATAATTTATCACCGAGACAGTTTTCCAAAGTGTAAATTTACACTTGTAATAGTGTTAACACTATTATTTATTCGTTTCGGTGGAACCGAGACGACACGCGCATTCATATCTCGTAAACGATCTGTGCCCAATGTCAAACGGATATCTGACCACCGTAACAATATTACGTTGTACTAATAGTAATAATTATGTCAAATCATCTCGGAAGTATAGCTAAAGGTATGCACGTTAAAAGCACAACGTGTGCCGTCGTGATCGGAGCCCTGTGAGCGAACGGCCTAGTGGTGGCGGCAACGACGCAAATATGGTAGGCGACAATGCTGCTCTTCGATTGGCTATCAACGCGATCACGTGCGGGGCGTGGCCGTCGGTGCGGTCCTCTGAACCCCCACGGCACACGCGTTGGCCGCCGTCGCCGACGTCGCTGCTACCACCACCACCACCGCCGCCGCCACCACCTCACACGTTGTTCGTACACCGTACACGCCGCACCGAAACGTCTTGGAGGAGAGCCTAGGCGAAAACGTCTCGTTCTAAGATCGTTAGTGTTCACCGTAATATCGTCGTAGTCGTACGTCAGTGTGTTTGTTAATACATATTTATATATATATATATATATTTTTTTTTATACGTTTTCGTACTTTCGTTCGGTGTGCAATTGTATCGAACCGGATTACTACAAACTGTAGTCAATATTTTTTCCGAGTTGTAAACTTTCGGACCGTACACGAAATCATTACGGTACATGTGGACTAGCCGTCAATACGATGAATTCATTCTTGACCCATAACACTGGCCTGCCATACCATCAACCGTCTCAAATGCACCAGATGATGATGCCCGAGCCGAAGTACTCACCGCCGGACGATTACAATGTAAATTATATGAACTCGCCTGTAGACTTTTTTGGTGGTTCGCATCACCATCACCATCATCATCATCAACAACAACAACAGCAACAGCAAACGGTTGCGGCAGCAGTGGCTCAACACGGCCATCCACATCAGACCACTTATCAAGGCCATTATCAACAACAAATGCAAGCTATGTACCCGAGTCCTGGTCAAACTCCTTCCTATTATACAGGGCCAACGCCTAACTACGGAGCTTATCAGATGCATCATAATGGGCACATTCCTCTGGAAGCCCAACAACCCCCGGCAGCTCTTATGCACAACTCCGTGCAACAGTGCAGTCAAGGAGGCAGCGTACCAGGAAACAATGGTAGTGGTGTCGTGATGGTACATGATATCAAAGACGACTCGTCGCCATCACCTCTTGCCTGTCACCTGCAACCAAGCCCATCGTCGTCTAATCACATGTCTAACAACCCCCTGGATGGATCTTGCTCTGATGATATGGACGACAATTCTGACACGGATGAAATGATGATGACTACCGCGAATGGCTCGCCGATAATGATGGACGACAGCGAATCTTCAGACAGGGTTATCTATCCTTGGATGAAGAAGAATCATGTAGCTGGAATACGTAAGTACCAAATCTTTATTTACAGTTGACAATAAGTAATATATACTATGGCTTAAAGTTGAGAAAGAAAGAAAGGACAGAAAGAAGTGAACACTTAAAACTAGACGATTCATTTCTTATTATATCATAATTTTATTTTTCTAAGCAATTTCACTTTTTCTTAACTATTAAGGTTTAGACGCTTTTTCAAAAAATATAATTATGCAATTTGTATTCCTCGCCTTAATCCCAACTACTCGAGGCGAATATAATTGTGCATTTAAAAACGAAACAAGTATCAGGTATAAGTTTTCCCCTTTAGTCTTTCATTTCAGTTTTCAATACAAAAATTCGCGCATAACTTTTTTTCACCATTAGTTTTTAAGATACCTTCATTCAAGTATCTCGGCGGTAAAGGTCGAATCCAGAAATTATTTGGTCACTCAAATAACATAACACGTATGGTACACATCATTCGATCAACTACTCATACGTGTATTGATACAATTTTCATTGACCGCGCAGTTTTTTATCAATTTCCGTGGTGAGCTAAATTCGTTAATAATTTACCTGCAGCGCTGACAAGGTCTATCGCAATATTTTGTTGACGCGTTATACAATTGAATTATGATATAGGACGTTTTGGCATCCTGTGGGATCCCATGACATCTATGATTTCTTTTAAATGTGTGTTAATACACTTCTACTAGCCAGAAATAAAAAAAACTTAATCGACCACCGTAACAAATCTCAACAATACCCACTATTGCTATGACAGAAAATAGGCATTTTGGCCATCTATTACTATACCTTTTGGCGGGTATCCCAAATATTTCTACAGCTCATGACATAATTATTTTGGAAATCAACGCATTTTCCAATTCATGGATTATGCGTAATGTTCTACGGGTTTCTAACCGGGTGTTGTTCTAATCAAATATTTTTTAATAAAGTAATACCGAACAAATAGATAAGAAAATGTTTAATCACTAATTTGTTGCTATAGGCTGTGGGCCAAACAATTTTTGAAAACTGTGTTCATACCCAAAGAAAACATTCTTATCACATTACATAACAAACAAAAACAGATAAGTCAGGTCGACTTTACTATTGTATGAGTGTTAACCCGCTGTAAGATAGCCATTCGTATTGTTGTTTTGAATACAGATTATCTGCTGCCGGTAAAACATTCTTAAAATGACCTCAACTCGAATCATCAAGACGGCGAGGAGATAACCAACAGATAGATAATCATTACATTGTTACTCTAAACCGGATAATCTCATTGTAATATTAAATACATCCCGACGTTATAAACAATTCAGAAATGACGCAATTATACAATTTTATGTTATGAATAAAGTATTGAATTAATTTACACCACTCACAGTTTATAATTGGCGTATTGAATAGAACCTTCGTGCACGTACACTTGACCGCCCATCTTAATCCGTGCACGAGATAGCCACTTCGTGAAAATTTGCCCAATCATCTTTTTGATTGTTGTTAACTATTATTATGGCTGTGTATGTGAAGTATTGCAGATTTGATTATTTCAACATTATGTTTGCAACTCACATTGTTTTCAACATATTTTCTTTGCGAAATACCAATGTCAGAGAGCCTGAAAGTATATAAACTAATTAGTTAGTATATCCATCGCTACATACATCATTACTGAGTTATAGGAGATAAAAATTTATGACACTGGCACACGTCTACTTTATAATGTCATCGCTGTAATTTGCAACGGCCCGTACGAATTATAAGGTCTAAATACAATTAACAAATTATCGTGTGAATGACTATTTTTTTTTTTTTACGCAGAGCACGCCAAAGTATATGATTTCTTACATTAACAAGTTTTTCACACCCTCTCAACAGTATTGCTATATATAAGTACAGATATGTTTTAAGAAGTTCTTGATTTTAGATAAATTTAAAATATATATAAATTACATTTATCATCAAGTTAAATGAAAACTGAAAGCAAATTTAAATTAACCAGTTTTTAGTGGCCTTGGCGTATTTAATTAAAAAGCAATCATTCAAGAAAAAGTATTGGACCCCTTTACGCGTGTAAAATAGGTATTCTGGTCACAACTGAACCGTATACAGGGGGGGGGTAACTTTTAATATTTTGAAATAAGAACTGAAACCATTAACTTTCGGTATAACTTTGACTGTTGAGTAACTCTAAATTATTAGGATTTTGTCGGGTCACTGCGACATTTATTGACACTCGATTACAAAACATTATGCGGAAAATAACATTAAACTGGGGACACGATTCTCGAATAATTATTAACTAGAAATCACGTGTATTAGACCACGTGTTGTTTATCTAATTCGGATAAGTACTGCATGTCAATTACTTAAATGAGGGCGATTTTTTTTATTCATTTTGAAACTCGTTCTCGTGTCAAATTCATTGAATAATTTATAGTTATTTTATGGAATTTATCATACCAAGAGACTCGGAAAGTTTCTTTGGAAAATCTGTTACGGAAAATCAATAATCACGCTGTTTTCGCAATTGTAAACTATTTCCTTTGTAGGTTACATTTTTTCCATTAAAAAATTGATAAGTATAACTTTTACGTATTACAAAATAACTTGGAAATGTTTCAGTATCTAGTGAATATAATTGACAATAAAAATTTCAACCGTATGTTTTCAACTATTTATTTATAGAAATCGGATAACCCAAACTCAAATTAATGTCGAACTAAAATAAACTTGTAAAAATCATATGAACACAATACAATGCCGGGCACTATTTTAAGTAGATGTTTTCATTCCATTAACAATTTTCTTTTTTTTGACATACAATTTGAAAAATATAAAGGTCTTTATTTGGTAAATATCCAATCCGTTATAACGAAAAAAAATTATCGAGCAGTTCCTTGTTTATTTATGTATATGTTAATGAACATAAATCATGGTAACTCGCTATTTTTTATGGATTGACTTTGATTTTCTAATATAACGACCTTATACGACACGTTTTCTCTGAATCAATAAATTATTCATCTGGACAATGAGCTTGTAATCTATTGAAATATGCGTAAACGTTTCGTCGAAAATTCTTTGACATTACATAATATTATGATAACGAGATGGTCACAGCTTCAATTATGGTCCGACTAATTCAAGCAAACAGTGCAAATAGCATTTGCCCTGGTATTTTGGTCATACGAAAGTAAAATTGACCTCTGTATAAAATTACTTAATAATTATTCTTTTCTCCAAACAAACAAGTTAAATGTATTCACAAATATTCGAATAACAGTTAATTTAATAGTTTAAACAATCTCGACGACACATTATATTTTTACATTTATAAGTTTACAATGATAAATTTGGAAATTAAAATGATCTTTCAAAAGAATATTTGTTTTTATAATTGGCCTCTCGTTAAGAATATTTAATTTAATAAAACCGCCAAAGCTGTTCTGATATGTAATATTAGTGAATTACAATATACTTAATTCAATCATTTTAAAAATGAAACGAATACAATTAGTCACAGATAGATTTAACCATAATTAATAATGCGACATTAACATGCACCTAAGGGCTATCTCACTAATCTTACTGTAATAAGAGTAACTTTGATACAAAATTAATTAAACAAAACATACAAGTTAAAAAGTCGACTTGTATTACGAAGCGCTCATTACTTCGTCTAATATAACATTTTTAAATGTTAAAGGTCTATTAATGTTGATTTAACGTGATAACCCATAAATGTTTAATAAACATTATTTTTCTAAAAATGCGCAATGAACGTTCCAATATTTAATTTGATTTATGATATTATACAGAGATTTTATAATTATCATTATTTTTTAATTAACCATTACCATGCTAGATTTAAAAAAATATTCGTTTTAATACTAACACGTATGAATATAATTTGTTGTCAGATAAACGTGTAATTTATCATATTTGGTGTATACATATATTTTTCATTCGCAATTCGATCTTCATAAAAGTTGCAATAATATTTCAAAAAGAAACGATTGCGTAGTTATTTTTCTTTTTATGATAAAAACAACACTGTCTAATTGAAAACCTCAGCACACTACGTGGTGGTGGTCGATGGAACGTCATCGAGTGTCGCTGTAAACGTATTCGTTTGCACGAGAAACGCTTCCGCGGTCACGTTTTTTGAAAAGCTATCGGTTCGATCTCAAAATCACAGTTTTTAATCATTCCCGTGTGCGGCGCTTACGCAACTTGGCGTTTTTTACCTCGAGGATTTGGCACTCGGATTCCATTCGGGAAAAACGGTGTCCGCGTTCGACTACTAGAAACAATCACAATAAGAAGTTAGCCCGCGGTACTTCCAATACACGAATCTCTTGAACTTGGGGTCATGCGGCTCGGTAGACCTCAAGTCGTTAGCAAAGAGCGCATTTGCATTTTTACGTCAAACGCGTGTGACGTGCGTCGACACGAATTTCGAAATTGTAAACAAGAACAAAATAACAGTTAATACTCAGTGGCCGAAAACATGCGTCACGTTCCTCAAACGCACAGAAAAGCCGACGACTCGGCAGTTTACTGCGCACTTGAAAAATACAATTATTTTTTTTTCAGGGCTGATGTACTCTTTCGGAATTTGCCACTCTCGCCGATTGTGTTGAACGTTGTCGTCACACGACGCTTAAAATTGTTTTCTTCTATCTATTCACAGTGTCTTTTTTTTTTTTTTCATTTCTTTTTCTTCTCCCGTTACGGCCGCTTTGTGGCCTTTTCCTCGTGCGACTGTTGTGTTTGTGCAGTTTTCATTCACGACACGTATTTGATTAATGATTCAACGGGGTCAGAAGCATCTGCCCCGTTATACCGTTCGCAGGGTATGCGAGCGGAGGAAACCCAATGGAATATAAACACGCACTCGCGATAAAAAGCCAAAACCTTTGTGTGCGCCTTTTTCGCCGCGACATACCCGAAAATATTGTCGAAAATTCACAGCCAAAGTGACACACGTCTCCCGTAGTGATATTCGTTTGAACATTGTCGGCGTGTCCGCGAATACATTATAACACCGTCGTCACAGTTTGCACATAAAACGACCGCCGTTATCACACGCGTACATTGTTAACCTCATTACACTGTCAGCTTTCTCGAGAAGCGTTGCGAACTTTTTATTTCCGTAAGAAAAGTGCCATTCATAAACCGTTAGGACTGCATATCAACAGATACACTCGGCTATTTTATCGTTGCGACGTAGTTACGTGTTCATAAACTGTGTACAACTCGCTGTGCAAGTGAATTGTTCTTGATTGATATTTAAACACGTTTGCCGAATTCCTTCGACGAGTACCATCAATATCCGTAAGGTACTTAAAAGTTTGACTAAACCACCACTGGTTTAGAGTCTTCTGGAAGTTTTTCAAATCGCTATTACGCAATCCGGCGCACCTACCGTGTTTTCTACGAATGTCTTTTGGTCGTTCAGAGACTTGTCGCGACAACAGCCGCAAGTCGCCTATCGTTTAATGAGGTCTCCGACGCGATGTCGTGTACAGTGCGTTGTTGTATCAATACAATGTACGGTAATACAATCGAAATGTTAAGTTGACAAATCGCTTTACGCCGTCGTCGGAGTGGGGCCGTACTTGTTCCACACGACTAATAGCGTGCAATTCAATAACAATCGCTCCTATCGATCATCGGAGCGTTTTTTACGACCGCGTCCTCCAAGGTCTTCGTACTCGGCCAGTGTGTGTGTGTGTGTGTGTGTGTATGTTGTCGTGCCGTGTCCGTTTGACCCTTCGACAATTCCAGTAATAACNTATGTTGTCGTGCCGTGTCCGTTTGACCCTTCGACAATTCCAGTAATAACTTATACACGTATTAGAATGTAATGTAAATTACACATTAGAGTGTAAAATATTACCAACCGATCTATAGAAATCGCTGCGGTTCTAGTGCCCGGGGGTGGTGGTGGGGGGGGAAGAATCGTGTATGACAATACTACGGCGGTGTAAATAATATTCTAATGATAAACGCCTTTTTCACGAGTGTACGATGTGCGTGTACGCGATGGCAGGCGATTTATAATTTCGGACCTCACCCGCGAGGACCGGCCGCAGCTTACACAGACCGCGGCCGAGATTAATATCGTTGGACGGGGCGGTCTTTGTGCGAGGAGTATGTGTTTAATGATAGCGGTGTACACACATGCGTTCACGGGGGCTCAAAACACCCATTTCGGAGGTCACGAGAAATAATGTCGGTCCTATACGCCGTTGTACATTAATATTACGTTCGATCGAGTCCTATTCATTGCTAATTTGAACATCTTTAGGCAACACATAATATTTTACGTGCTATTGATAAATGCGTTGTGTGCGTGTACAGCGACGTCACAAGCTCATTTGTAACCCCCGAGAACCGGTACAACACCTCGCCGGTGGTCCCCTCGCGGCCGAGACATGGCACCTACTTAAGTACCACCGATTTATCACGTCGAATTTATAATACGCGCCGTGTACTTACGGTCGGTGGTGGTATTGTCCCGGAAAGAGTGTGTCCTTAACGCGGATCGGTATTTGCGTTTGTCTATTCATCGACCCTCCGCGTACAGTTCAATGTCGAGTGTGTGGTGTTTCAGTCTATTGGCGCGCACATCGCCTTTGCTCATTTTCGCGCACGAACCGCGTCGTCATACAAACTCCGAGACGAGCACAAATAGCCGACGTCGGTCGGATTGCGCTCGTCCTTGGACCTCATTAGCCTCTCGAAACGTATTTCCATAACGATGTACCNCATTAGCCTCTCGAAACGTATTTCCATAATGATGTACCCCTACACTTGCACGTTTTTTTCACGCGCGTACTCCGTAGGCGTACGGACCTGTGCGGTCGCTCGTGCTCGGAATGCAAATTGCGATTAATCGTATGCAAAGTTGTTGCACATGATAAATAGTAATAATTCAAATGAGACTGTTTATTTATAAACCACACGCGTACAAAATCGGCACGTGCGTATTCACGCTGCTGTTTGAATTGGTTTTTCAGATGTAATTTCATTGGGAAAGCTTTGCGCGCTTTGAACGTACTGCCGACAAATTTCATGGCAAATGGTTTGCGCTATTTTATTACTCAATGTTTACCGTGTGGTAAAAAATTGCAACGGCGGCGTACACACACACACAACGTAGCGATCCACTGACAACGCGACAACGCCCGCCGGTCGTCATTTCTCTCTCTCGACGACAATTCGACGAACTAGAGCTCACCCGCCTAAGTCTTAACGAGCCACAAGGTCGTGCAGTCTGAGCACCCGTCAATTATTTTGTTTATTTTCTAACACCGGACCGATATTATTAATAACATGGGAAAGTTTAGCCGGCCATACAGTACTCGTCTATTAACAGTGGGTTTAGTGTTGTAGTGTCGGCGTTACAAAGGAAAGAAGGCGAGGGCCGAGACCGGCAACGTCGTACAACAATAGCCGGAGAAACGTTCGGCAACGTTTGTTACGTTCCCCCATTTAAGGACCGCCGCCGTGTACATGCTACCACGCCCTTGTTGGCCGCCGACCCAACGCTCTACCATGATGGCTGTCCCCCGGCTTTTCGATAATACCCAATATAATATTATTAATAATATCCGACAATCACACGGCAGACAGTATTATACACGCGCATATGCATAAACTCTACACGTACCTGCTGCACCTACCCACGTACGTACAAATATTATACTTTAATGCGTTAGTCGAGTTTTAATAAAAAAAAAAAAATTAGTGAAAAAAACGCTTCTCTCCTCCTCTTGTCACTTTTAATAGCCTAAAATGTTTACCTCGATAATCTACAGACACTTATATTTTCATTTTATTTTTTTTTTTTGTCGTAGCAAATGGCACCTATCAACCGGTGGACGTTAAGAGACAGAGAACAGCGTACACCAGATACCAGGTGTTGGAACTGGAAAAGGAATTCCACTTCAACAAGTACCTGACCAGGCGGCGGAGGATAGAGATCGCACACTCGCTGGTGCTGTCCGAACGACAGATCAAGATTTGGTTCCAAAACAGGCGTATGAAGTACAAGAAGGACAACCACTTGCCCAACACGAAGAACGTGCGCCGGAAAAACGGCAGCACGCAGCCGGCTGGAAAAAAGTCACGGGCCAAAAACAATAACAACAACAACAGCAACAACAACAACAACAGCAACAACAACAACATCAACCAAAGTGTGCCGCAGTGTTCGCCCCCGTTGACGAAAATCGACATGCACGACATGTCGCCCCAACAACAACCTGAACTGAGATTGTCGGCCGACACGATGATGTCGGTACAACAGCAGACGCAGTCTCCGGTGACGTCACACAATAACCCCGTGTCAATGCAACACGGCCAATCGCATCTACAACAACAGCACCAAATGCAACAACTCATGTTGAATCACCAACAACAGCCATCGGCCGCCACCGCCATGAGCAACCCGCATCTAACGCAGCACTTGCCACAACAAGGTCTGACGATCGGTGCCGGTGAATACGATCTGACGCAACTGTAACAGCACGTTCAAATCCAATAAACAATTTTTTCAAGGTGTAAGTTACTTTCTAAACGAACAGAAAAGCCTTAGGGCGTTGTTTATGATTTGTGGATCTCAATATTAATCGTGTGCAGAAAAAATCGATTTGGACGTGAAAACTAAATCGATAAAATTTATGTATAAACCACACAAACGAATAATACATGGCCCAAGTGTATATAGTCCTAAATTGATTTAAAAAAATTCTACAAAAAAAGAACTTTAGTCACACAAACGATTCGATCGGACGACATTAGGACCCGACGAAAAAAACACAATTCGTTTGTGGTTGCAGTCGGTTAGCGTTTCCGTGTATTGAAAGTCGAATGATTAAATTTTAAAATGTTATTTAATGTTATCCTTTAATTTTATAAATATTTTTTTCAAGTAATTTTTGTTTTTGTTGAATTTAAAACTTTATTTATAAATCACGTTTTTAGGTAGAAAAAATACTTTATAGAAACACGTGCTATTTTAATAGAAAAAAGTCGACGACAGCTCCATTTTTTTTTTTTTAGAAATCAAATTAACATTTGTTTTCATCTTAAATAATCGATGTAAATATCATTTTGAATATAATTTCACGAAAAACGCAAGCTCATTAATGTATTGTTCCATTTATATATATATTTATACTTGTACGATGTATAGATGTTTATTAAGTACACATTAAGTATCTTTATGTGAAACATTTTACTTTCGCGACTTCTTGAAGGTTAATGGAATACAAATTTTCTTGTTTGTTTGTCTTTTTTTACTGGAAAATAATACTATTTAAATTTTATCGTATTTGTCCATCCTTTAAGAGTTGCTATTTATATACTTTCAAAGTTTGTTGTTTCTTTTTTTTTCAAATTACTTTTTCATAATGTTGAGTCTGAAAATGTCAGTAGTATACATTTCAAGATGTACTATTGTGTATTATAATTTATATAAATGTATATTATAAAAAAAAATATATATATATATATATAACAAAATAAAAATATACCTAAATTAAATACAATTTGTTGTTAATTATTTTTTTTTGGCATATTTTTTAAATTTAAATTATTTTTTTGACGAATTGCGTACATCAAAAATAATAAAAGTCAATCATAATCACATACAAAAATCTACTGTAAGTAAAATATAGTTTTAAAACGTATTAACGAGCGAGTTGAATGGTTTTAGAATGGACAATTTTTTTTTAGGCGCAAAAGGTAAACATCACTGGTATTTGTTCTTAATTAGGCTAGTCGCATGGAAAGTAGCCTCGGGTTGTTGACTTTATCTCGACTTGAAAAATCTCTATTGATTAGAAATCGTTTTATCAGAAAAAGCCTATTATTATCGTTCTTACCAACACTTGTGCTCCGGTAGTGTGCGCACAATAACCCGTTCGGGAAATATAACTGTTAGTGCTCGTACTTCGAACAAGTGCTCACGCATGGCGGATCTACGGATAGGAGTCGCGCACTTTGCTCAGCACGGGTTCGTCGATTCAGTAAAAATAACCGTCGGGAGGCTACGGGAATTCTGTTTGGCAAGACTCGTGTCTCGGCATCCGACTGGGAAACGCCACCGCGCAATACGACCAAACTCTCTCTGTCTCTCCACACGACGACCTCCAAAGCATGCCCGTCGTTTCTTTTCATCTCGACAATACTTGTCACATTTAGCACTTGCGTCTTTTCTCCTCCTCGAAAAAAAAAATACCAAATAATGAAATGATGTTGTTTTTTCATACGGTTGTGTTATTCTGTCGATAACTATTACAATAAAAAGCTTACCGCGGCGGGCACCACCTGGTCGACGTACATGCTCGTCCTAACCGCGACCTTGGGCACGACCAGACGGTATTCCGGTACGCACACACAACACTCTTACAACAACAATGGTAGTCGAGGGATAAAAAAAAAATTAAAAACAATAGTCCGTGCCAAGAAGACGGCGCATGCCGCGCATATCCAAACTCAGCTGTGTGTCGCGGGTACGCGCGTCTCTTTGTTACCGTCTCCGACACTTGTAATTAACTATTATCGTTACTGTGGTGTTGCATTTATACGTAAGTATTAAGGTGCATAACGTACATAAGTAAATAATTTGTTGCGCGGACAAAACCCACCAACACTAGTAAATGTGTAATCACTGCAGCATCGTATTATGAATCATTATCTGTTGAAATCGCTCGGTTATTTCTCAAATCGCAAACCGAACCTTTGTATACATACGAGATGCGTGTATTTTTCAACCTCAAATTACTTGAATACAATCGACTTTAAAAATGTATGCTAGGACAAATGTGATGTGTGCCCAAAAACATACCAAACTCGGAGTATAACCCTATCTAATTTAGATGAATAAAATTCACAATTCAAATGCATTGGAAATCAGGAATAGAATTTTATTTTTGTACAAAAGTAATTGACAGAAACGCAAACATCTTTTAAACACCATTGGGTATTGAATATTTTTTTTTTTTGTTTTTCCTGACCTCGGTTGATAAAAATTGACGTTTTACCGTAAAAAAAATATATTTCAAACGATAAATTAAATCTGGCTACGTAGATTTGAAGTTTTGACTACTAGTATCACGAAAATTAGTACGGATTTGCGCAATGATGGCGTTTAAAGCTGAACATAGATTTCTGGTGAGATAATGCACACATAGATGACATCTTAAATGCATAAAAAAAACATCAATCACTACTTGATAATGTATTCTAGATAGCGGATATATGCCGCAACGAATGAATTTTAATGCATACTAAATATCACCAAATATTCTAGTAGATATACTTATTTTTATTTAAGGAACAAATGTGACAGACAAACCTCACACTTCTGGCTACTAAATAACTAATTGACTGGTCGTTAGACAATTATCATACAAATAGAATAAAGTTCAAAATTTAAAAAATAAGTATAAAGGAACTTGATCATTATGCGTTTTTTTTTTCGAATTTTTAGGTGGTTAATATGATTTTTTTTTTTAATTAGTATAGCATCGTATTGTCATACCAAGTAGGATTTAATGCACAAAATTGCACGTGCTTTGTGGATTAAAAATTAAATAAAAACTGGGGGAAATAAGTTTGCAACGTTTTTTTTCGCTGATTAAAGAACAAAAAATAGCGTGTACTTGGAAACTAAAAGAAGTGAAAAAATTAAGGTTTTCTTTGGGTACAAATAGTGTTAGTTGTTTAAATAATCGATGAATGCGCCGCGGCACTGACGGCGTTAACGGGAAACTCTTCGCCATTTATCAACGTTTCCGTTTGCCCGCCCTACGGTCTTTTTTTTCTTTTTATTTCCCGGTAGTCCGTTTGTCTCTAATCCATAAAATGAGAACCCTTCGGCCTTCCCCTTTACGCTTCAACTCGGATTGTTTAATACTCACTTCGGTCGTTCTGTGATCGTACCTATCACCCCTACGTGCCAACGACTTAATTATCAATAGCTATTTAAACCCGCTTCGTTCGCATCAGTTGGTATTGTTTTTTTATTTTCTCAAAGGTTCAAACAAAAACTGACGAAACAAAGTTGCTAAATACTAACGAGTTACATAAATATTTAAGATCTAATACATTACACTCTGCTAAATAACTGAATATTATTGAGGTTATACAAGAGCTAAAAAATCATAAATAGTTTATAAAAACCATTCACCAAATTCTGGACATAGAAATAGTTATTATTATTTTTTTTTTTTTACTACAATAACTTCTTTAGTATTATTATTATTACGCGTGTATACTAAATTTACTACTATTCCATTCAATTATTATCCTAAAAACTTAAACTTAAAGTTCTATTGTACTTATCATTTACACGTGAACCGAATTTCAATTTTCCTTGCTTATGGACTTCAGGAATAATAAGTAATATTTTTTATTACTAAAAAAACCTTTGTAATAAGTATAAATATATACTATAGTAAATAATAACTAATTATTTCGCAGATAGATTTTTTTACAAAGGAATACTAGTCAGTTTTTTTTTTACTAGTAGTTTTTTAACGATTAAATCAAATAAAAGAGGAAGAAAACATTTCAACAAATTGAACACAAAATTAGTTAAAAATAGAACGAAAATTTGTTATACTTACACAAGAAAAGGTTATTGTTTAAATTGTAAATTATATTAAAAATTTTAAATAAGTAGAATATTCAGCTTTATATTCATTTATTTGAATATATAACAACTTTTGTATTTTTCAAGGGTTCTTTAAAGAATTTCAATAGTAAAATATTACATTAGAAGTATAAAATTATCCATTTAAAAAATCTAATTGGATACTAAACTTTATATTATTTACACATCATGTTATAACTAATAATTATCATTTTATAGCAAAATTATAATTATGTTACATTGAATAGATGACAAAATCATAATTAAAACAATTATTTTTTATTTTAACCAGACATTAATTATTAATTTATGGTTCTATACTACACGTTCTCTGGTGTGCAATAGTTAAGATTTTATACCCGAATTTAGGTAACTCACTATAATATAATAATTTACATTTTTATAAATCTAGACTAAAATTTAAGTCGTCTAACGCGTGAGACCAGGAGTCTGATTAAAAAAGTTTGTTCGGTTAAACTATAAATATATTATAACGTTATCTCAAAGGCGCCTTTAGTTTTTTGTCTGGGGCAATTTTTCGTAAAATAAAAAGAAGATAAAATTTTTCTTGAATGTTATTCAATACATACTAGAACCACGAACCAGAACCTGTAATAGTAAAGGTTCGTTAAAACGGTTCTTAGCCGTCAATCACTATTTTATTTGTATAATTCAAACGTTTTATATTTTTGATAACAAATGAGAATTATTTTGGTAATAATTAGTAAAAGCTTTATTATAGTTTGTTAAAGCAAAATTTATGAACTAATCAAGAAACGTTAGTTGTCCACAAAATATTATATTTCTACTTTTAAAATAAAATAATCATTATCAAAACATAATTATCGCCTGTTTGTTTTCTGCAGGGCTCTAAATTATTAATGACTGCGATAGTCATAAATAGAAGTTGTAGTAATGTTGTATGCTTGCTTTTCTTGTGGTTATTTTACAATGTACTGGAAAGTTATTTGAATCCTACATCTGCTATTTTCTGAAACTTTTTTTAATTGAACTTTAATTTTATTGATTTTAATAAAATTTTAACAATTTGGATGGAACCTATAAAAAAAACACGGTTCCAGTCCCTGTTTATTTTAACATAAAGTGTTCAAAATTTGTATACAAATATAAAATTTTTGTCACTATTAAAAAAACTGTCCTTTCGGTCATTTTTTTAAGAGTGTATTAAAACGAAAAGATTTCCAAAAATAATTAGAGTAAAATAAGTTTCTTTCCCAGAAAAAAATTGAGCCGCCTAAATTTAATTAAACTTGACTAAGGAAATAAATTACTGATTTAAACAGTTAAACTCTTTTTAATATTTATTCTTAAATTTCAAATGATCTCCTTCGTGTGTAACGTTTCATGTTATAACAGAGGGGCGGGCGTAACTCAACGGATATCCTACTCAGATGGTTTCGTGTACAATATATGCCTATTCCAGCGTAATTGTAATATTCATTAGAATACTAAGGCCGCCGACATATGGTGCCGGTTATTTAAGCGACACTGTAGAATACGGCTTTCCTGGATCACATACTACGCGTTGTCATCCGGTTTCACACATGGAAGAATGGAGACTATACACGAAAGGCGCCACAACAACCACCACCCCTCCTACAGCTGCAGTAATACACTTGGCGTATAAAACCATATTCCAATTTATGATATGCGTGTTCAGCACACACAGTGTCAGGAAAACGGGCGGAACGTCAGCACACGGCAATGACACGACGTGTAATATAATCGAATTATCAAATTTTCCGCGCTCACAGCTGT